ATCTGCTAAGGTCACAAGTATGGAATAATCAATTAGTCATTATCATGCCCAAGATCCATAGTATTTTCAATGCTAAACAGCAACTTCTTTTTGACTTCTTGTCAATTTCTAGTTGGCTTAAATACATTGGCAAATACTCTGAGACCAACAAGAAACTACCAAAATAAACCTGAAAGGTTCAATAGCATATATTTTCAACGGGGACTTGAACCAATACTCCTTAGATGAAGCTTATGTATTTTAAAGTACATCAATAGTGGAGATCACAAGTTTATAGCTTAAAAGGATAATGTGGTCTATTGTGCACGTGAAGAGAACTGAAAGAAATGCTCTTGATCTGTTCATGATAGGTCCATAACACTAGCTACATAGGGCAATGAATTTGCTGTGTGCATGAAAAAGATGAACATGGATCACTAGCACTTGCCAATCGCAAGCATTCAGTTGTGGCCACCGGTCCACAAAGCCATGGCAGATGCAAAGTAATAAGCCAAGCAAACAAGAAAAGCAATTTTCAACAGCTGGATGGATAGCTGGGACCTCCTAACTCCTATGCTGCTTGTGCCAGGTCTCCAACATACTCTCCAGGATGTATAGTGCGTTCCCAGTAGCTAACTCTTTTATTTGTTTGACCTACCCTAAAAAATAATTATCATAACCCTAAGAACAAGTTTGCCTTCTGCTACCGACTTGAAGAGGAGTACCAAAGCAATATAAAAATATAAATAGAATGATAAAGGAAAACTTCAGCCTAGATAATAAGTCATCCATCAGGGATAAAGAAGAAAAATGAAGCTTAATGTCAAAATTTAGCCACATCAACTCAGAAGGATAAAACAAGTTACCTGAGGGAGTGGAAGCACAACGAAGAAGTCGAGTAAAAAATATCCACGAAGATAACGGACAGCAATTTTCTTTGGCTCGTCTACTAAATCTCCAGCTCCCACTACTCGCGATTCTGGAGCTACATAAGCCAGTCTGAACTGAAAGAGAAATGCAAAAAATAAAACGGTCAAAAGTTGATAATATGTTTTCTTGGGGTTAAAACTGGACAGGAACAAATAGATGCAAAATAAAATAAAATACAAGATATGATAAATCAAACTAAAACATGATACCAGAATGGAGTCAAAGCATGACAAACCATTACAATTAACAAACAAAGGGTAAAAAGATATCACAACTATTTGATCATGGAGATATGATAAATCATCCGCTGAAGATCAAACAATGCATTACTGTTAGTTACTAAAACATGATACCAGGACACAAGAATATTGAACCTGAGCGGCTGAGCCTTTTCTCACATATTGTCAACAGATAAAAAGTGCAAGTTATACTCACAAAAAACCAGTATCTAATTTGGCATTTTTAGAAGAAAACTACTGATCACTCAACAAATATACTTGTCCTAATATGCATACCAAAGAACCAAAATATAATCAAACTGCCTTCCATCTGATGCCTTAGTGACCATGTTATTTATGAAAGAATTTTATAAAATGTGGAACCATACCCTATCATGGAACATGAATTATAGAACCTTCTATAGAATAGCAAAAGCAATGATGTACTGACCTGAAGAAGCATGTGTAGAAAATAAATAGCATCAGTCACGCTTCTCACAACTGCAAGTGCTGTAGCAAAATGCCAGTTCAACACAATGCACTTGTTATCCTGCATAAAAAAAAAGGGAACAAAAGTAAGTGCAGGTCAGCTTTGATCTTCGGAGTATCTGAGATTTTCGGAATTTCCGAAAAGCACTGCTTCTGCATCTACTTAAAAGTTTTAATCGCCTATTCCTTCCCCCCTCCCCTTTTAGGCTTATTTGACCCTTTCAATCCATTACACAAGATATCAACACTTAGAACAGTTAACCGATAGGAGAATAGAATGCTGCAACAGGAGTAAGAAAAATTACACAAGATTAGCTCACAAACTCACAAACAAGGTGCAACAACAAATGAAGTGTACAAGAAAGTTGTAGGCTTTTGACAGATGGATATGAACTAGCATCTTCAAGTGAACTAGTTACCTTTTGAACTGATAATAGGAAGAAAAATAGTGGGTCAATGAATATGGCAACCAGGCATGATATCACAAAGAACTGATTCCATTGCTGAACAACTTTTGCATGTGGGTTCATAACTGGAATGCGTGAAAGGAAACGCTCAATTTCCTTCTTCCATCCACCACCATGCTCACAAAGAAAATTATGGAACTTCAAGAGAGCAAAAGAAAACAGATTAGATTATTCAATACAACAATACCACAGTCAGTAACTTTAAGCGCTCTTAAGAAGTGCTTTGATCATTATGTTGAAGAAATCTAACTAGACAAAAAAAAAACTAAGAACCAAGGTACTAAATAGCATTCACAATGGCCACAATTGCAGCCGCAATAACAATAGCGGGGTACTTCCGCTACAGCGCTACCTCCAGCAATATTGGCTGTTATTTTCCATTGAAGATTGAAATAGAAATTTTGATGCTTAAAATTGAGTTATCTGTAGCCAAATGTTGATTGCTTACTAGGAGATTTTTATATAAGAAGAAGATAAATATCAACTAATATTACCTCTCATCTATGTAGAGGTGCATTCTATACTCTGTTTTTTTTTTTTTGCCTTTTATCTTTTATGTTTCTTTTAGACTTGTGTTCTCTACTTTATAATTCAGAAGTACTAGGCTTCTCGAATCCAGATCACTTATGATGATTGTGAAGTATGTATCAATACTATGCTATTTTACTAGAAAAATGTTGCGCAATCCAGCCACAACTATCAGGTTCAGATAAAATCATATAGTTTTAATGTTTTGTGCATTCCTACAAAAAGAGGGAAGTAAGACCACCTTACTGTCCAATGTACTTGATCCTCTGTGAAAATGCCTTTTGTTTTTACAAGCAGGAGGGCAGTTGACACAATCAGGATCGTCACATTGTCCCAAAGGTCCAGACATCATCAAATGTTCATTCTTTGGAACATTCCCACTATAAGACCACCTGTTTCCTCCAATTTCTTCTGGCATTATCGCATGTGGCTTGTTGACTTGTTTTCCTTGTGGAGGTCGAGGAGGCATATCTGGTGTATTTGTAAATGGAATGCCCGCTGCTGCAGTTTGTGTTGGTGGCTGAACAAACAGAGGACCAGTATGGGGTACAAATGTGTCTTCTTCGTATTCATCATCCCTAACTGGTATGCACATTGATGTACTTCTAGGAGGAAACGTTGGTAGCTCAACATTTCTTAGTAGCATAGGAATATCATCTCTCTCCTGGTCAGACATTTCTTAACCCTGAAATCAACATCCATTGTAATAGAAAATCAAGTTCAATGACACAAGCAAGAAAGTTTGCATACTTTTGTATAAAAGAACATTATCTATCTTCAGAGAGTAACGACTCCAATCAATATCAATACTCATGTTGGAATTATATTTGTAGCACAATGTCAGCATAACAATAACGAAAATTTTCAGAACATTTTCAGGAATGTAAAAACACATTACTGAATGCCAGTGTTTGAAACAACCACCTTAGATAGAAATATAAAGTTATTAACCTATAATGGCCACTAGAATGATACAGCATGAAAATACACTCTGCGGTAGAGAATCCACATGTAGATTGGCCAAACAAAATCAGCCCCTGTTGTGTCAGTAACCTGCTGCATATCTAACAATGGTGACAAGCCTATCACAATCAAGTGTTCACCTGATTAGGTCCCCAACTTACAGAACCAATTACATCTGTAGGAGTCCCCCAAAGAACAGAGAACCTGAAATGAGATAAAGACATTTTGCACTTGTTATAGAAGGGAAACCTATAGCATTACTGAATACGGACTGCTGAATTGGAACTAAGAAGTGCAAACCAATAAAGACAGCAAATACAGCTGCAACAACTTTAAGACTAGTTGTGTCCAATACTCCAATGTATGAGATGAACGAAGAGAGAAAATAACTAATAAATAGTTTAATATAAAAAGGGGTATATATCACTTGAACTTGCACATTGTGATATATACCAATAGAAAGCCTTTGGTTCTCTCAAAATACCACTGAAATAGTGTGCTCTTCCTCAATCTGAATCTACCGTTCTCCTCTGATGGAGGTTCGATTGACCCTTGAAGATTGAAGCCAAGCAGCCAGGGCAGGCGTGTGGTAGCCTCCAGGGCATCGTCAGTGCCCTCCTTAAGCAGCTTGAGCAATGGCGGCACCTGGCTGCAGCGAGCAAGCTACACTAGGTTGGCGGTGGAGTCATCTAATCAAGGGAAAAACATTGGTTCATTCATCCTCGCCGCCGCCACTCATTTGCTACACCCCCATTGCTTCAGTGGAATCATCTATCTTATCATCAAAATCACCAAACACCAGCAAAACATTGCACTTCACCAAATCTAACACCCAGATTCGCATACAAAAAAAACAATTCAATTACTTCCAGGAAAACCACGAACTCATCGGCTTCCAAATCAAAGTAGGACTCGAAGCAACGAGGCGGCGACCTCAGGGAAGACAGACGGCGGCGGGAGGTGGCTACCCTGGCTGAACGCGAGGGCACGCACCGCCGCCAACAAAAAAAAATCCCATAAAAATCGCCTCTCCGACTCCTCTGGAAGCATCAAACCCCTACTCCCCCACTCTACCACATCGCCGCGGAAAAGCGCAGAAAAAAATGAACAAAAAAATGAAGAGAAATCGAACTAACCCGACGTGTTCTTCTTCTTCCTCCTCGAGACGTCGGGAGATTGCACCGATCAACAGCGGCCAACCACAATCGCTTTCAGAACTTGTGCGCGATTTGGACACTGGAGCGAGATAGCGAACTATTTTTTTTTCCACTTCTCCTTTCCTTTTTCTTTTCTTTTTGATTTTTAATCCCTTCCTCTTGTGGCTTCCACGCCAAGGACCAGGAGGAGAGAAAGCGAGTGGACACGGGGGCAAAGAGTCAAAACGACGTCTCCTTTTCTCTCACTGACACGGGGCACGTGAGGAGGGGCCCGCTGCTCAGTAGATGGCGCGTGGGGCCCACCAGGCACCAGGTGGGTTTTGGACTGTAGCTGCTGCCCCGACGCGCTGCTCGCTGCCCCACTCTCTCCCCATTCCCCTCCACGCCGCCGCCGCCGCCGCCGCGTGGATGGCCGGAGTTTCCGCCGCCTCCGCCGCCGGGAAGATCGGGAGCTTCCTCTCCAAGAGGCCGTACGCGCCGCCGTCCTGGGCCTCGCACCTGTCCCCCGCCCCCTCGCAGACCTTCTCGCTCGGCCATGTGAGTTTGTTTCCCTAAGTCCACCGCTTGATCGTTGATCCTAACGGCCGCACTTGTTCTTATCGGTGGATTCGATTCGAAGTAGTTTTGAATTGATTAGGAGGATCGATTCCGGGAAACTCACGGTTTAATTTCTAATTGAAACAGTTCCCGACGCCGATCCACAAGTGGAATCTGCCCAATTTGCCGAATGGCACGGAGGTGTGGATCAAGGTTAGAGATAAGCAACAGTTTGCTGTATCAATGAATAGATATGATTCAGCCCCGCAAAAAAAGAAAGAAGAAAAGAATTGATATGATTCAGGGAATATGTTCCATTTACTCTATCAATGAATAGATATATGATTCAGGGTAGAGTAGTTTGTTTATGGAGTTTGGCTTCTGACACGAGAGTTTGGGGGAAATTGCAGCGAGACGACATCTCAGGCATGCAGTTGAGCGGGAACAAGGTCCGGAAGCTCGAGTTCCTGATGGCAGATGCCGTCGCGCAGGGCGCTGACTGCGTTATAACTGTAGGTGGCATCCAGAGCAATCACTGCCGTGCCACCGCAGTGGCTGCAAAGTATATAAATCTTGATTGTTATCTGATACTGCGCACATCCAAGGTGATCTTTGTACTTATGACTTATGAGGTTATTAAATCATTAAATTGATATGATATCGTGTGGTAGCATATTTGGGCTAACCTAGTTTTGGTGGGGCATGTTCACATTCAGCTTCTTGTGGATAAGGACCCTGGTTTGGTTGGGAATCTCCTTGTTGAGAGATTGGTGGGAGCGCATATTGATCTTGTTTCAAAAGAAGAATATGGAAAAATTGGCAGTGTGGTATGCTCTTTTCGATGATGTGCTATTATTGCTTTTATTATTATTTTCATAATTCCATCGGGCCATGTGTAGCAAAGGAACTTTTTATATTTTGGTGTTATACTGATACTTGATATCCATACTCAAGTAGTTATTAAAGGGGCTAAAGGTCCAATCAAGTAATGCATCCTGCAGTATATGTCTGCATCATACAATTAGCATGGTCATTTTTTCCCTATTCTGAGGAAAGATCATGATTATATTGCCTATTCTTTGAATATGTATGTAGATAAACTGGTAAAGTGGCATTGCCTATTAAAATATCTGAGTGATCTTTTTCTTGTTAGAACTTCTTTATTCATATTGATATTGCTTAAAAGTCCCTAAGCCTAGTATGGATTTATTTGGTTCAGGCTTTAGCGGACTTGCTGAAAAAGAAGCTTTTGGAAGAAGGCCGAAAACCATATGTTATTCCTGTTGGTGGATCAAACTCTCTAGGAACTTGGTATTGTTTTCTGTTCAATCCTAACTATTGAACCATTTTTGCATTTTCAATTTCTTTGTGCGTTTATAGCATACTTTGAATATTCCTCAGGGACTATTATTATTCATGGATTGGTGTTTGCCATCAGTCTATCAGAAAAGAAGAGATTAGTTTGTATTTGAATAAACATTAGGGCATCACTTTTTTTTGGCAAATTTCTATTGGTCAATATACTATGTTGGACCTGGAATGTTGGAATTGTCTAAGGCCCTAGGCTCTGAATCTAGTGGATCTCATGCAACACTAGAAGATCCGGTTCTATCTTGTGTGGTGGCTAACAAGTGGAGCATAGCTGAAGGACAAATGTAGTGTATTCTATCCACATTTAATCAACAACATTGAATAGAATATAAGATTACTGTAAAGAGAAGGTTTGCACTTCAAAGTTCAAACAGGTCTCAGAATTTGTGAAAGTGATACCCGATTGTTGAAACTTGACCTATCTTTGTAACTTGTATTGTTTCCTTTTTCTTTTTGTAAATCAGAACTTGTTTTGTTTCTTGATAGGGGATATATAGAAGCAATAAGGGAGATTGAACATCAAATTCAGATATCAGGTGATGTTCAGTTTGACGACATTGTTGTTGCATGTGGCAGGTATTTTGTCAATACGCACCATTCTTTACTTTTAAGGGGTACTTATGTACTCACTTGTTATTGCGTCATGCCTAGTTCCTGAAAGTAGCAATTGCTGCTTTATGACTTGAATGATTTTTAAATTTATGCAGCGGTGGAACCATTGCTGGTCTTGCTTTAGGATCAAAATTGAGTAGCTTAAAGGCAAAAGTATGCACTTTCTTTGATTGTTTTCTATCCTGCTGAAATTGTTCGACTAATTATCCATTTTTAGGATAGGTCCATGCTTTCTCTGTTTGTGATGATCCTGGATATTTCCATTCCTATGTTCAAGACCTGATTGATGGACTTCATTCTGATTTGCGTTCACATGATTTAGTCAACATTGAAAATGTAAGTACATTTTTAAAGTTCTATATTTGATATTTAAATGGTATTGAAGAGTGGACTTACATCCTCTAATTATGACATTGTTATGCGCGTATCAGTATATAACATAATTGTTCTGAAACTAGTTTATTCATTTCATTGTTCCAATTTTATGGTGCAACTCTAATTGATGATATTTCCTGCTAATGTGCATTGGTAGAATTTTGTGAACATTTGACTTGATTACCTGCAACTGCCGCTTCACAGGCTAAGGGCTTAGGTTATGCCATGAACACAGCTGAGGAGCTTAAGTTTGTTAAAGATATAGCTACAGCAACAGGCATTGTCCTTGATCCAGTCTACAGGTACAATATATTCCTTTTGTTGAAACATTAATCCCAAGAAACACCTTTTGCATGTAACTCTAATTTTACAACCAGTATACTTGCCATTTGTCGAAAAGTATAAAAAGTTTTGTTCTGTTAGACTAATATTGAAGGTCATCACAAGTTCATGATAGACTGGCCATATCATTGCCTAAAGATATATGCTTCATATTTCTGCAGTGGAAAGGCAGCATATGGAATGCTGAAAGACATGGGTGCTAATCCAGCTAAGTGGGAAGGGCGAAAAATTCTTTTTGTACATACAGGTGGTCTTCTTGGTTTGTATGATAAGGTTGATGAGTTATCATCTTTGAGTGGGAGTTGGCGCAGAATGGATCTTGAAGAATCTGTTCCACGCAAAGATGGAACTGGTAAGATGTTCTGATTGCTATGCTCCAAAATTGCTTCCATTGTTGTTAGAGGTTTCAGACATCTCATTGTCTAAAAAGAGTATTCGCCTCAATTTGTACGACAAAATTCAAAGCAGATGGTTAATGTAAAACACTGTTTGTTATATTTAAAGAATAAAGCATATATTTCTGCCATTTGGAAATAAAGGTTTATATACATTTGATGTACTGCCAGGCACCTTTTCTATTATCTTTGCTTATGTAAGATTGTTTTATTTTATAAAAAAGAAAATCAGATATGCCATTTCTGTTACAAAGACCTGCCTAAGCAAAAAACTGTTCTTAGGGCCCCTGTCGTATACATAAAGCAAGCACACCATTGGCAATCTTTAACATTCACCATTAAACAGTAGTAATGAACTATACATAGGAAGTAACAGAAGGAAATACACCGAAGATTCAACTTAATAACATTCCAATAGCATGGAAAAGCTAAGTGCAGGAGCCAGAGACCAATCCTTGCAATGGCACCAACTCAGATGAAGGTTCTCTGCTAAAAGATGGATGAACAGCAAAACAAGCCCAGCATTCCAATTTCCAGCAGTCCCATGTAGCATAGAATCAGGCATTTGACACGGTTGGTGCACGCACCACAGTAACCGGGCAGGTTGCATTGTTGACAACATAGTTGCTAACACTTCCAAGTAGGGCCCTGCATTGAGGTAAAAACCATTGATTCACACGCAATTTAACTGAGAAGAGGTTTAGATCAAAGAATGAAAAAGGTTTAAATGCTAACCTTTTCAAGGGTCCTAGTCCCCTGCAACCAAGAACAAAGGTATTCACCTTGAGATCGTCTACTGCCTCACAGAGTTTCTCCCTTGCATCACCCCAGTAAACTTTTGCCAGTACTTCAACCTGATCCAGCCAATATGGAATCAGTGTTTTGCTTTGAATTACATTTGGATCAACGTTTCTTTTTAGTTTGATTACATTTGAATCAACCTTCCCTTCTAGTTTTTACAGTCCCATCACAGGTAATTCATGAAGAATTCAGAGAAGGCTGCAGAATCATTACCTGCTTGGACTTGGATTCAGCTTGCAGGATCTCCAGTACCTCCTTATCGGGGTTGATCCCATACCTCGCCTGCACGTTCATCTCCATAAACTCCAGCAGAGGAATCAAAGCTACACAAAGTCAAAAACCAACGGTAAATCAGATGCAAAACCTGTCAATCTTTTCTGAACCAGAATTTGCTGAACAAGAGAAGAAACTGAAAAGGCAAAAGAAAAAAAAAATGCAATGCCCCTACATACGTGAGCCGGTGCTCTTCCAGAGCTCCTTGTGGCTGGCATCTGCTCCTTTGGGAAGGACATGGACGAGGATGATCCGGTCGCCGGCCTTCACCAGGTTATCCACCGCCCACTTCGCCGCGGCCTTGCTCGACGGCGAGTAGTCCATGCCGAGCCCAATGGTTCGCTTCTCAGCCGCCATGGCAATGGGTAAACGAAGGTGGTGAAGCTGTCGAAGTAAACACCTAAAGAAAAGAGAGGTATTTGTGGTGCTATCTCTGGGTTAGGCTTGTAGCACAAGTACTCCTATTTAAGGACGTCGTTGAACAGCAACAGAAATAGGGTGACATATCGCCTGTTGATAGCGAACTTGTAGACTAGGTTGCCTTTATTCCTTGTGCAAACTGCCTTTTCTCCTTTACATGGCCGATCGGCCGTTCGCCAGATAGGCAGCCATGATGGTGCTTCTCTCTCCAGAAGGCTCTTTAATCATCTGGAAAGACGAAGAATATTTTCGTCCAAGCTCAGTACAAGTATGGCTTTGATCTGTGGCCCAGTGTCAATTGCGTTAATTAGGAGCCAATAATGTTTCCAGGTCTCAATTCTGACGCAGTTTCTTGTTTTCCTGGCCAATGACATGGAAACAAGTACGGTTCCAGAACATAGAGATATTTCACTTGCCTAGCAGCTGTAGGGGGTGTTTAGATGAGAGGTGTAAAGTTTTAGCATGTCACATCGGGTATTATATAGGGTGTCACATGTAGTGTTCAAGCACTAATAAAAAAACGAATTACAGAATCCGTCAGTAAATAGCGAGATGAATTTATTAACCCTAATTAATATATTATTAGTAAATGTTTACTGTAGCACTACATTATCAAATCATGGAGCGATTAGACTTAAAAGATTCGTCTCGCAAATTAGTCGCAATCTGTATAATTAATTTTTTTTCTATATTTAATACTTTATAAAGGTGTTCAAACGCTCAATGCAATAGGGTGCAAAATTTTTGTTAGGGAACTATAAACAGGCCGTAATTTACTAGTACTATGTTTTGTTCATTCGTATTGAGAACTGGTCCATCCAAGTTTATTTGTAGTTGAAGATTGCAAGGTTGGCACAAAAAAAGGTCCAAAACCATGGGCATGTTGGCGGTTTACAAAACGGGAGCGGAATCGTATGCTCAAATTTTATTCTTCTTCACAGCTATAGGCCCTGGATGGAAACGCTCAATGCCTCTCAATACAATAATCCCAACAAATTATTATGCACATATGCTTCGGTCAACTTCAGTTGAAAAGCCCCTACGTACATTCCTAGTTTCCTACTTTTCTTCATATTAAAATAAACAAAAACATAATATTTGATAGAACAGATTTATAGTATTAAGATATATTATATATTATTTATAATATTAAGAGTAATAGATTTGTTTATTTTAGAACAGATCGAGAGTACGCTACTGCAAACCAACTGTGCTTGTGAACTTCTTTGATCGGTGGCGTAGCAGACCAACAGCGACCGACGAGCTGGGCCGCGCGAGACAAAGCCCTACCACTAGGCCCAAGGGATGGCGACCTTCATGGTTTTGGGCCCGCGCAGCCCATCAAATCATCAGAGTCTATCCGGGCCATTTCGCAACCCGTGGCTGTGTCTGAATTCTTCTTAGATGAAAGATTCAATCAACAGGACGACGAACAGCACACTTTATGTAACAGTAGAAGCAACCCAGGGAATACGCAATGCTTTTCTTTTTACATGGCATAGATCGATGAAGTTCCAAACCATTCACTTAATCCGATTAATTACGCGCATTCTAATCGCTTGCATCTAATATAGTGATTAAAGCAGTTTGGGACGTCTAGGACTCGTTCTAACAAGCAGAAAAAAAAAAAACTCAAAAATTAGGGAAGGACCTAATATCAAATAATTAGAAGGGGTTAGGTTTTGAACCCAGGTCGTCTAGCCCACCATCTTGTGGAGCTAGCCGAAAGACCCCTGAGTATTTCTCGTTCTAACAAGCACCTCACCTCTACTTGTCTCTAACAAGCAGAGGTGAGGTGCAATTAAACAAGGGTTGAATAAGCTAATCCCGGGCAAATACCACCGAATTAAGTTTGTGCAAGTGGACAGAATTCAAGTTCTGGACTCATTCAGTCCTTCTTCATTGAATATTCTTGTGGATTCTCGCGAACTTTTACTTGCAAAGTCCGACAATATTCAGAAGCCAAGGTATGCAGTGTACAGTTCAGTCTTGCAACACTTATAAATAGGAGTAGCTTCTCTCATTCACCAAATGCACCAAGCTTGACATCCCCTGATTCCTGAAGAAGTTAACTGGAGGTTACAATAGCATTCTATTTTTACTCTGCTGGTTCCTTTTTGCTATTTAGCTGTGTATATTTCTTTCATCTTCGCGTAATTTTGTAGGAGATTTTCAATTGGTTCCTTTGTTTACAGGAGCATTTCATTTGGAGCATTAGAGCTTGTGCAGCTCGGATATTCCTGGAGCAAGAATGGGGAAGTCCAAGCGTAACAACGTCAAGAAGAGCATCTGGCAGCTCCTCTGCGGCTGCTCATCACCTCAGACGAGCGATTAACTGAGACTGCAACACACGATATTAAGGAGAATAAAGTTGCTCATGCTGATGGACGTTGGGCTCAGGGGTTGATGTGATTACAAGGTGTCGGAAAGTTATTGATTGTTTCATTAAATTGTCTGTAGATTTATTCGTGTTGAATTTAGTTCCGTTGTAGTAAAGGAAATTCAAGTCTCTTGTAACCAGATTCTGAAATAAAACCGTTTCACCTTGTATCATGGCTATGGCCTAAAATATTTCTGGTTTCCTCCAAACTGGGTAATACGGGGAAACTATTTTAAACTCTCGAGGGGATGTCTCCTTGTTGTTTGTATGTTACTCAAATGGTTATGAAAAAATTTGAGAAAATATATTAATATGTGATATATCACTTCACAAACATACAAAGTCAAATTTAACTTCTACATATCGTAACGAAAAAATAAATTTGACTATGAATATACTTTAATTATCTGTAGTTTGTTTTTTTACAACTTATAAAAGTTGATTTAACTTGCATGTTTGTGGAGTAATATATCACATGTTAATACATCTTCTCAAAAAAATTTCATAACCATTTGAGTGACATGTAAACAACGATGGGTCATTCACTCGAGAGTTCAAAATCCACTCTCCGACGATATATTACTGTATTGCTTAAATTGGTACTAATTGGTAGGTAGACTGGTAAGGCATGATTTTTTTCCCTTAATATAGGTAGAAGTTTTATAGATTTTTCACAAGAATAAGATAATTTCTCAAACAAAACAAGAAATGAGAGGACAATATGAATGTGGAACTTCGGTCAGGCTGTGCTCATCGAAAATCGGTTCCTCCCTACATATGGCATTAGCTGGTTGAAGGCATTGTCTAGAATTCGAAGAATTTGGTCTCTAGTATGAAAACCTATGATTTGGGTTTTGTTGATCGGATCATGGCAATGACAATGCAATTTTTATTTTGGAGGTGTTGTTTTTAAGGTTTTCTAAGTGATGCGTGTATAGAGTATAAAGCTTGTGGTTGTAGCTCACTATGGCATGATATTTGTTATCATGTCGTTCTTCTTTCTAAAAAATAATTATAGGTTGTGGACAACCTACTATGCTGGTGCCAAGAGTGATCTTAGATTAATTGTATCACTTTATTATAATTGTTTACATCCATCAAGAAAGTTTCCTTTATCTTAAAAAAATAAAACCTCTAAATTTACTTCCAAGGACACCTAAATAGTACTCACTTTTGGTGGAAAAAATATCGTTTCAACATCGATATAGTCTTCAATTGAAGCTTTTTTTTCATAAAAGATAACTAAATATCCAACAAATCAAAATATATGATTTTTCATACATGCAATTCATATGTTAAAAATATTGTGACTTAAAATATGTTCAAACAATGTGTTTTTGTCCTAAGAGGGGTTAGTTTTCAAGCGGGGGCTGCTATATAACGGAATCTCGTTTTCGAACGGGATGATACCGGTTAGGTATCAGGTCTTGATACATAACCTGTATCATGCGTTTCTATCACATACGTATCAGGTGATACTTGAGAAGTATCAGATGATATCTATCATGTATCATGCGATTCTTATCACATAGAGGGTGATACTTACGAGGTATCATGTCCTAATACCTAACCGGTATCAGGTGATACCTACCAGGTATCATGCGATTCTACCACGTATCAGATGATACTTGTGAGGTATCAGATCCTGATACCTAACCGGTATCAGGTGATACCTATCAGGTATCATGCGATTCTACCACGTATCAGATGATACTTGCGAGGTATCAGATGGTACCTATCAGGTATCAGGTGATACTTATCAGGTATCATGTGATTCTACCACGTATCAGGTGATATTTGTGAGGTATCAGATGATACCTATCAGATATCATGCGATTCTTACCACGTAGAATGTGATACTTGCGAGGTATCAGACGATACCTACCAGATATCCCACCGTCCATGTCCCACGCTAGAGCTCGTTGCTGGCAGCCACATCCTCCACCGTCCACGCCATGTCAGAGCTTGTCGCCGGCGGCCGCGTCCTCCGTCATCCACGCCCCATGCCGGAGCTCGTCGTCGACGACCGCATCCTCCACCGTCTACGCCACGTTGGAGCTCATCACCGGCAACCGCTTCCTTCGTCATCCACGTCCCACGATGGAGCTCGTCGCCGACAGCCGTGTCCTTCGTCATCCATGTCCCACGCCGGAGCTCGTCGTAGACGGCCGCATCCTGCACTGTCCACGCCACGTCGGAGCTCATCACCGGCGGACGCTTCCTTCGTCATCCACGTCCCACGATGGAGCTCGTCGCTGACGACCGCGTCCTTCATCATCCATGTCCCACGTCGGAGCTCGTCGTAGACGGCCGCATCCTCCACCGTCCACGCCGCGTCGGAGCTTGTCGCCGACGGCCACGTCCTTCCCCACCTCGACGAGCTAGCCAAGTACGTGCTCGTTGTGCTCTGCGCCGACGGCGGTGGTGAGGGCAACACCTTCGCACTCTACTTCCTCATCTGTTGCCGCGTCCGTGTTGTCCTCCTCCTCCCCTGCGCCGGTGCCGACGCCGCCGGCGAGGAGCTCACGATCACGGGGCAGTGCGTCGACAGTGCGGGTGTGGGCGCCGCTGCCTATGTCAGCCATGCGCGCGCGCTGGAGCGGCACCGTGTCCTGCAGAGGTTGCTGCTGCTGTTCAGGACGTGCATGGTCAGGTATCGCTACTATTTGAATAAGCAAGGGGATAAAAGGATCCCGTCCGGACGGAATTCCGGTGCGTAGCATTCCCGTTTTCAAGCACCCCTTTCTGAGTTCCGACCCATACTCTGTTTACTCTTTTTCTTCCATGGTACTACTGCATCGCTACTACTCCACATATCACGATTGTACGCTTGCACATCGCACGCCCGACGTTCGAAACGCAAGTTAACATGCGTGAACTTCTGAAGCATCTTATTGTTTTAATCATTTGCAGTAAGCATCTGATTGCTTTAATCATCTGCAGTAATTTTTAAGAGTAAATCATTTGCCATATTTAGCAGCAGCAATTATTGAACCGTTCCAAGCTAACCAAGGTAAACGGTCGTCCATGCTTCAGTCAAGGGATCGAGCTTGGCTGATTTGGCCTTCTTTTTTAAGGTCGCATTTGGGCTTTTTTGAGACCGAAGAAATCCAGGTTTACGCGTACCCTTTTTGCACTACCATGTTGCTGCATACATGCCGACCGGTGAACGCATCAAACCTGCTGACAGGTCAGTTTCAGGTCAGGTCATACACCCACACTCGATGGATTGGGAACATCTGCTGACGTGCAGTCCCAACTATAACTGCACGTTAGAGATTGCACGCAATCCAGTCATCCAATTTTTCCGTTGAAGGTCCAGATTAAATGCTACAGTAGTCTTGCTACAGCCCTAACGGTGTCCTGTTGAAATTTGGGCATTTGAATTTACATCCTACAGCCCTAACAACTGTTTAAGTTGTAGTCACGCAGGAACCAAATCGACCATCGATGTATCGTATCAAAGACAATTTGTAAGGCCCTGTTTAGGTTTCAACTTTTTATTCTTTAGACTTTCAATTTTTCTGTCACATCGAACTTTTCTACACAAACAAACTTTCAACTTTTCCGTTAAATCGTTCTAATTTTTTTAAACTTCTAATTTTAGTGTGGAACTGAACACAGCCTTAAGTCAATTTTACTCGTCAAGCACAATATACACATAAAACGAGCTACTAGCTACTACATGAAGCTTGAAATATAAGCAACCTTTTGTTCTTTAAAAACTAGTACTACTTGACTAGAAAATTATAGTATATTTCAGTGAACACTCCATGTCAAGTGCAAACTAGTTAAGCGGGAGTTCAAAGTGTAGGAGTACGTGTTAACTGTAACCAATGACCTGGTCCAGGCGGCACCTTTTGCGGATTCCGTATGTACTTTTCCTGCTTCGTGCGGACCAAGCTTCCTTCGTCGTGTTACTCGAGGGTGAACGTACAGGACTCGTTATTCGCTGAATTTTCATGTGGTTTTTTCTCATGTTGTTTTCCTAGTAACGCTTGATAACTACGGTGTGTTTGCTCTCTGGCACGGAAAACAGAACGGTCCATTAGGGCACCCACAATGGTTATCTATAAGCTATCTACAAGATATCCATGTCAGCATATTTTCCTACTTGGAAGATATTAAATGAAGAGAGAGAGAGCAAAGCTATCTACTAGCTTAGAGATAGTCTATAGAGAAAAACGAGGCAATGCATGAGAGAGCTATAGATACCTATGTAGACATACTATTGAGGTGGTTTACTATTAATCTAGTCTATTGCTGAGATGTACATGTTTTATAGAGAGCACCCTACTTTACCATTGCGGGTGCTCTTAGTACGTGATTAATTAAGTATTTGCTATTTTTTTAAAAAAATAGATTAGTTTAATTTTTTTAAGCAACTTCCGTATAAAAACTTTTTTTAAAAAACATACCGTTTAACAGTTTGAAAAACGTGCGATGGAAAACGAGGGAGATGAGCTGGGAAAAAGGGGTATCCGAACACACCTACTAGTGCAAACTTACAATTTACTGTAGTAGAAGTTCTCATATCAACTGGTCACCCTCAGCTAGCATGAGATCGAGAAGAGTCGTTCAAAAGTGAACTGTACATGATTCAGTCAAACAATCCGAGTAAAGCTTGCTAGTGCTGTTCACAATTACTCATGCAGAAACCAAGTCATAGTTTCACGGGGTTGTCACGGTGTCACACCGTATTCGACCACTTGTTGCTTGTTGCGTACTAGCATACATACCATGGGATGCAACAAATTAAGGTACTATGTGTGCAGCTAATATAACAATATTCAAAGTGCTCACACTGATAGACACTCTCAAGGATTAACTTGACGTCTTGACCTTGATCAATTCATCATAAGTACGTTACGAGTCGTTCGCCGGTACGGTTCTTGGGGAACAAGGCAATATTCTACACGGTGAAAAGTACGGAACACAGGCTAAGCTAGGAGAATTAAACGTACCATTTTCACAGAACATTCTAAGAAAACAGAGTTAATTATACAAAATGAAACCAAGTTGTTGCACAAAGTGAAAAATCCAAGCCCAACTTCAACTGTCACTTGCTAGCTAGGCCGACCTGTTCTACATTGTCATCACTGAAGTTCTCCATGGTTCTTCATGTACTTTTCCTAGTATGTGCTCGGTAAGCTTCCCTGATCGTCTTACCCGCAGCACTATAAAAGGACGA